TCCCTGCTCGTCCTGTCACGGCTATGGAGGCCGTCGGGGAATCCTCATCCTGTCCTGTCACGGCTATGGAGACCGTTTGTGAATTCTTTGTCTGCTTTGTGTCTGCCAAGGAGGTCGTATGTGAACTTTTGTCCTTTCCCGACCCAGCCAAGGAGGCTGCCTCTGAACACCCAGCCTTATCCCCGTAACACTAAGCGCTGATTAACAACCGCCCTACCGTGACAAGACAAAAGTCAGAAGATAGATACGCAAGAACGTTCATTTTAAAATAGCACAATGGAAGACAAAATTCCCTGTGATGACCTATTGACTTTAAACTACTGCAAATGGAGATTTGACTCTCTGACAAGTGTTAAAACCGATCCTAGAATATCCCATGGGATTGTCCACTTATTCCACGGGAGCTGTGTAGAATTCCAGCCATGACGACTTGAGAACCTGAGCATGAACATCTATAGTGAGCCACAAAGAAAGAAAACAATAGCTTTGAGTGTCATGAAATGCTGAATTAGCCAATTATCTAGCCTGTCTACTGTAACAATACTTGAGATTCCAGTAGCCCAAACAATGATTTTATCAAACCCAGAGGCACCTACGAAACAATACAATCACTTTCACCTTCAGCAGACCTCTATTAAAATGTTACATTCGTAGCACTGATACAATGGTCTTGGAAATGCATCATAAATTCAATATGTGCCAATAACAAAATGTCACATTCCAAAAGTAATTACCTGTTCCGTATTCTATTAGATTGAGAAAATACTGCATCATATTTGAGGTCAACAAATGAATGTAAGACACATTTAGTTTGACACTGAACAGTCATTTTCAGAGGAATCCATCACTGAAAAGGGTGACATCTGAAGCAGAAGATGGCACAAAATGGAACAACACAATCAATTTCATATGCATAGTGTACAATTCCAGTTGCAACATAGGCTACAGTAATGCCTCTGTTGTGCAGTATAATTTGAAAGATCAATACAAAAACCTTAGTCTCCTTTCCTACCGGATTTATATATAAAAAAAAATATTTTGGCAGCAGCTGTATTATGTAGAAAGTAAAGAAGAAAAAATTGCTCAGAAGTTGGTCCTATAGGAGTACAATTTATTGGCTGCTTGTTCTCAAATAGTATTCTAAGTTTCTACCCCAAACTAAGCAAGTGGTACTTGTCAAGAAACGTCTCTATTCCAAAACACAACAAACTAATTAGGCAAATGACCTTAAAGACCATTTGTCCTCAACAAACATATCATCAGCTGTTCATTTGTATGGATTCCAATCATTCTTGCAGTGGCTCGAATCTCAATGAAACACAAGGGAGAGAACATGGCTATTTACTGCTAAGATACTTCACACTTCACAGAGAAGCCAAAAATCACTTTAAATATGTTGGGATAATAAAATAACTTCTGGAAAAAAAAAAGAAAACACTAAAGCCTACTACTAATTATATATAGGTGAATATTTAATGTTATTAAAAGAATCATGAGAAGAAAACTGCCATAAAGCAATTTTAGAAACCTGTACTGAAAACCAGAGATTGTAAGTTGTAATGCACATGCACTCTGTCATGTCTTTAAAAAAAAAATCTATTAAATGTCACTGAACAAAGAGCTAGGCAATTTTGTGTTATTAAAGGAAAAAAAAAAAATCAATGTGTGATTTTGATGAAACCCATTCCTTACCATGTCTCCTTTATCTCCCTTTTGTCCAGAATGTCCTGCCAAACCCGGAAGCCCTTGATCCCCCTTTCAAATACACATAAGTCACATTATGCAACGTTAATATGCTAAATCGGCTCGCTGTATCAGGTCTAAAACGCTGTGATCAAAATTCAAAGAGGAGTCCTAGCCTGAACTCTGGCTCTTTGTACTTCAGAAGAGATTAGCTGAACATCACCCGCTGATGAAGTGCATGTCTGTGCCCAAACACCCCCTTATTTGTGCTAAATTGCTTCTAATAAGCTTTTATTTCTGCCTCTGGCTGTCATCCAGGTATACAGACTGGCATAAATGTGCTTTAATTGGCCATTCATTTTGTATGCGGCATTACCTCAGGATCCATTGTGGAGCGCTAACTCGCTCATTTATAGAATGCTTTCATGGTTTAACTTTACCTTCAGAGCGGGACAGTGGCATCGGTCGCTGGGCAGCTGGGCTGGCATGGACAGCATTCTGTGGAGGTATCCTGTGACCAGTGGGGCCGCTGTGGGGTTGTGGGTCACTACAGGTTCACACTGGTTAGATTAAAAAAAAAAAAAAAACTTGGATTAGTGTTAAATTATTAAAATGTAGACCGAGATAATCAATTATCCACTTTGAATTCCATGAAGATGGGATTTGTGGGGATTTTCTACATTATGCATGCATAGTACATGCATCTTCTTGTGAAATGCATAACTCTGGCAAACTGAGCTACATAAAATATAGTCATTTTAATATGATCAAAAATGTGAGCAAAAAATTGACAGCATTCGAGCTCAATGTTGATGATTTTGGGAGCAGCATTTGCAGACTTTCCTCACTATTATTATTATTATTATTATTTGAGTTACTTGTAGTGAATCAAAACTGAAAAAAAAAAGAGTTAAAAAGACTGTCAATAACTGCACAAATACACTACTGTTCAAAAGTCTGAGTTCAGCAAGGCTGAATTGATTACAGTAAAAACAGTAATACTGTGAAATATCACAATTTAAAATAAGATTTTGTTTGAATACATTTTTAAATTTAATTTATTCCTCTGATGGCAAAGATGAATTTTCAGAATCCATTACTCTAGTGTCACATGATCCTTAACAAATCATTATAATACGCTGATTTATTGATCAAGAATCATTTCTTACTATCATCAATGTTGAAAAAAGTCGTGCTGCTTAATATTTTATTGGAAACCTTGATATGTTTTCACTAAATACAAATGTTTTCACTGTCCCTTTTGATCAATTTAATGCAGTGGTGGGCCGTCAGGGCCAGCAAAGCCTTCTCTGCTGGCCTAAACACTATCAGAATCACTGATTTAGTTTTAATATATTTTTCCATGAATATGTATTAAATTATTTCCAATAGTCTATTCTCTTCATTTCATAACTGAAGGCCTAGGTGTAAAATGCACGGCCCGCCACTGATTTAATGTGTCCTTTCTTTAAAAAATAAATTATTACTGACCCCAAACTTCTGAACGGTAGTGTTCAAATAAAATAGTTTAAATTAAACTAAGAATATATTATTAAATTTCTCTTATCATTTGTCAATGTAATTGGGTTTCTTTCTTCTTTCTTTCTTTTTCTTTTTTAATTTCTTCAAAGTCACACAAGAATTTTTAATTGAGCCATGGAAGGAACCTGAATTGTTAAGAGGAATCAAAACTGTAATCTTAATTTTTCCTATCCCTAGTCATACCCCAGTAAAATTAGCTGTGGCCCCTCAAGAGCTGGTGCCCTAGGCAATCATCTGTGTTGCCTAATTACATGACCGGCCCCACTGGCCACTTGGACCATTCCACTTCCATGTGGAAAACACTAAGGAAACACTATCCCAAATGCTGAGAGGGGGATTAGCAGACTATGTACCAATTACAGCATTGAGCAGGGATGTGGATTTTCTCTAATCCAATTGTTTAAGACAGAATGTTGCCTTTAATTAATCAGAAATTATTGACCGGAGCAACTCGAGCTAAAAGGATGCCCTCAAGGGCTTTGTCCACAGTGGAAACGATCGGTCCAAGAACAATACATGGAAATCACTATGGCTCTGTCCCAAAACCTACACCTTTGCCTTTGTGGACGGCATTTTTAGACCGTTTCAAAAGGTAAAATATCTTTTTTTAGGCCAAATTCTAAGGCAGAATTGCATGTATCCTTCTCAGAGAAGGAAATCCCAAAATGCATGGCAATGAGATTAGTGAAAAACAATGGAAAATGGTAGGTTAAACAAGAAAAAGATTATTATAAATAATTAACTTAAAGGAACACTCCACTATTTTTGAAAATAGGCTAATTTTCCAACTCCCCTAGAGTTAAACAGTTGAGTTTTACCGTTTTCGAATCCATTCAGCCGATCTCCGGGTCTTTAATCAGATTCAATGATCTATGCTAGGCTGCAACTAAAGGTGCTACCGCCAGACCCGGAGATCGGCTGAATGGATTCGAAAACGGTAAAACTCAACTGTTTAACTCTAGGGGAGTTGGAAAATTTGCCTATTTTCAAAAATAGAGGAGTGTTCCTTTAATACTGAGAGATTTTCAGTCAATGCCTAAAACTTAAGTCTGCTTCTCAAACAAAACTATCATGTGGCTTCAGAAAATATGGAATATAATGCAAATAGACTACTTTTTCTATGCTCTTTTGTGAACCTGACTAATTAAAAATTGACTATTTCACCCAATTTCTGTGCACTGTGTAGTTTTCCGCTTCACGTTTTCCATATATCACATCATATGTTCACAACAAATTCAATCAAAATCAATTGTGAGTTGAGTTTGTAATTGTTCAGTTGTGTCAGGAGTATGACACACACGGTTGCTGCCTATGTAGAGCGTTTCAGATCGGTCACTCTTGAGCCCTTATAAGACAGTTGTCTATGTAGGCAGTAGACAGCAAGGCAGCTCACTTGATTTTGGAAATCTTTGAAAACTAACTAGACCACACTACCACAAAATGCAGAAGACAAAATGCAGAGACAGTTCCATTTTCAAACGTTATCTGAATGATTAATGTTATTCAGTAAGCAGTGCTGAAATGTGACTGGCCTGATTTAATTTGATGAATATGTCAAGCCCCTAATTTTAGTGCAAAATTATGGGCTGGGTTTACAGTCGTTTAGGAAGGATCATTGAGTCTGCATTATTAACACCGCTGCACCATAAACCCGAACATCCTACCGTAACTCCAGGAGAATCGCAGCATCTGTCCAAGTCGGCTATTCTAGCATCACAGAAGATCAGAATCTCCTGAAGTTCAATCTGTGAAGGTAAATTTACATTTATGGGCATGAACACACATGCCTGACAAATCAATCCAACAAATTTGCAGCAAACTACTCAATTTTGACCTGCATCAGGTTCAGGCATGAAGTTAGTGAAGTTCCTTCAGACTATAATGGTGTCCACCATAGTTTAACAATCACTAAAAATACTAAGCTTTGCATTCGTATTCAGATTTAGCAAGTGATGAGAACCTCCGTCCACAACTCACATCCACTGGACGTCCATTCTCCACTCGAGTGGTGATGAATGTGCGTCCGCTCACGTTCATGCCAGACCTTTCAGCGGTCACCTGACGCTCAATCAATGTGCAGTCCAGGTAGACGGAGACAGCATTGCTCTCGACAGACACACCTAGCTTGTGAAACTGTCGATCGAAGAGGGCATGCAGGTCTCGGTTCTTGAACACGTACAGGAGGCTGTTTTTCAGAAAACCCTGAGCCAAAAACTCGACTGTTTTTTTAGCTCCATCCACTATTAATGACACCTAAATGAAGGAGAGAAGAAGGGATGAACATTAGTGGCTCATTAAGAGAGTTAATGAGATAAGCTGACTGAAGTCTAGCGACTGCAGTGTACAAAAGAGTGCCATTTATATAATGATCATTTTGCCAGTCTTGCAGGAGTTATTGGTTTTGAACATACTCTGATTGATCAATGTCTTTTTTTGTAGATCTAAATAAAGTCTAGGATTTTTCACATACCTGTGTATCTCCACCTTTATCAAAGATCTGCAGAACAAACCAGCGATCTTTCTTTGTGGTTTTTCTGAGTCGGAACATGGCAATAATGGAGTACTCATGAGAAAGTCCATTTGGGAACACAGATCTTTAGAAAAGAGACACAACAATAACATCTACAATTAAAGTTGATCAAAATAAAAAGTAGAACACAAAAACAAATATAGGACCATTTACCAATTAAGGCTGCATTTAAGTCACAGTAAAAGCATTTAAAAATAGTGAAATATTACAATTTCAAATTACTGTTTTCTTTTTAAATATATTTTAAAATGTAATTTATTCCTGTAATGCAAAGCTGAATTTTCAGCATCTATACTGTAGTCTTCACTGTCACATGATCTTTCAGAAATGATTCTAATATGCTGATTTGCTGCTCAAGAAAGTTGAAAATTGCTATTGATACTGATACTGTAATGCATTTTTTTTAGGATTCCTTGATAAATAGTCACTTTTAATTAATTTAAAGTATGCTTATTGCTTAAAAGTATTAATAAAAAACGAATAAATCTAACTGACCCAAATTATTTAAATGGTAGAAAAAAAAATGACAGTAAATGAATAAGTGAATTGCTTTTGAACTGGTACATGAACTGTCCAAACAAAATGCCTCAGTAACTGAATCAGACTTCCTAATGCTACATATGAGAGAACAAGAATGTTCTAGAAAGCGTTTAATTACTGCTTCGGTTCAGCAGTAAAGTGCCATTTTCACTTAAACACTTCTATTAAAAGCTTCAATAAGCCAAGTGCATTGGCATCAATCTTCTCCTCTGCATTTTTCTCTTTAGTCTTGCCTGCAAGATTTATCAGATGAATTTACTAGAAAACACTGTAAATGTGTCCTTTCATAAACTGAGATTCTTCTGTCTGTCGGTCTATTGTTTATACCACTGAGATGTTTCACTCTTCTGAACGAAACACTGTAGCTGTGACTTGAAGCAAACTCATGGTACAAGAAAGAATGCTAAAAAACTTTTAAAGCTTCCATCCGGTTATTAAAATTGTTGAAAGAGTAATATTACATTTTTGAGTGAATCTCATAACACTGTAAGTGTTACAGAAATAATTACTCTCCTTTTCCATTTCTTTCACACTCTATTTGGTAATTTACTGGCACTTCATCAAACACAATCAGCAAAACTGACAATGAGAAAATCTCATGTATGAATACTTTAAAAGGACAGAAGAGAACGAGAGAGAGAGAGAGAGAGAGACTTGCAAAAGACAGGCTAAAAATGAGTTTCTTCTCAAATAGATCATTCTCTATTCTCTCTAGGCACGTCTGCATAGCGTGTCTCCTGCTTTCACAGGCACAGTGGGGAAAATGCACATTATTAAAATGATATATACTCTGACTTTACATGCTGGCAAGATCAAATGCTTTTGGATAAGAGGAAGACACAGGAGAGGGGCTTATGGGAAACTAGTACAGATGTATTATAGGACAATGGACGGAATATTACTAAAACTGACCGCAAAATTTTTTAATCTACTCAAAATATCACAATATCACAAGTCATCACTTATTCACCCTCAAGATACAGTGGAACACAAAGGAAGATGTGTAGAAGCATGAATGAAGTTTCAACACTTCAGTAGATGTGAGAATTTTCAGTGAATAATGCCTTAAACTTCAGAGTGTTTCTCGAAAAATATCACATGGCTTTAGAACATATGGCATCTTCATACAATGAAAGAATATTCTTAAAGCATGTCCTCTGCATTCCACAGAAGAAAGAAAGACTTCTTGGAACGGCTTGAGAATTCCATAAAAACTCAATCTAGCATTTATCTAGATAAGGAAGGAGGCAATAATAGGTTCAAAATGAGAGAATAAAGACTTTTTTTGTAATTGCTGAGTAATTGATTTTATGAATGCAACCCTAAATTATACTTGATATGGCCAGCCGGTGGAATGAGTGAGACCTCATAAGTGAGTGCAGTGTTTCGAAGCGCACCAACCTGGGCACCGTGACATCAATTCACTTCATCACTGAGCTGTTAAATAGGGACATCAGAGGCCATATGCCAAATATGATGGGATGTAACACTCTAATACAGCCCATATTAAACTAATCTCTGAACATGCAGATTAATAAGCAAACAAATGGTACAACTGCTACAAAAAAAAAAAAAAAAACAGACAGTGGCCTAAGTAAAATGTAACTTACTCAACATTAACTTTGTGTTTGATGAACTGTTGCATAAAAATAATATGACATTTGTGATCACACCCACATGCTAATATTTAGGAAAACGGAACTGTTTCTTGTTTGATATTACTTAACTACATAAATACAAAATTTTATTTTAATTACATTTATTTTTAATTCAATTATTTACATTACATACATACATACAAAAATAATAATATAATATAATATATTATTATTTTTGTATGTATGTATGTATGTATATAAATATATATAATAATATTGTATAATAATTTAATATGTATTCAATTCAATAGTCAATTCAATTCTTGACCCGTTTGGGTTTTTAGCACCATTAACTCTTCCAGCTAAAAGAACAGTTCAGGAGTTGTGCCGAATGAATATGGGGAATAATTTAAATGTAAATACCTGAATTAAAAATAAATGTAACGAAAAAATAAAATATCTAATTTAATAATAAAGGTTTGCCCCCAATCATTATATATTATATAATACAATACAATACATAATTCAATGATAAATTAATAAATGTATCATTTATATTTTTCCCAAAAATATATTATATTACATTATATATGTTATATTATACATTTAAATGTTTTAATAAAATAAAATAAAACATTTACGTAAATAAAACAAAACGATAGAAATGTGCGCACTTCTAGTGGCACTATACAGCATTGCAAACAATAAATCATAAAAAAAATAAAAATAATAAAACATCCCACATGCACGGTCAAAGGATACAAACAGAAAATTCTACCCCAAACTTATACGTTTAGTTGAACCAGCATTATTTTGTCTCATATTGGGCAAACAAACTGACTGCAATTGTGTTTGGTGGTTTTGTGCCAACAATGGTGCAAAAAGTGTTTCATATTGTCCATAGTAAAAAAAAAAACAAAGTAAAGAAGAATGTACTCAGCCACATAGAAACGGCAACATTTAAGCAGTGAAATGAACAAATGTGCGGTATGCCTACTTTATTAACTTCCTCCTTTCAACAACTCGGTTAGGACTACCAGGCGAACATTACGTCACACAATTAATATTCATGAGCAAAGTTCACAAGCTTTATATTGTGCTTCCCCCAACACTTTTCAGATCATTCCCACGCCCCCTTGCCTCTCATAAAAATGAATACCAAGCATGCAATTAGCACATCTTAGCAGAGTCATCTGTGAAACAACTAATGGAAAATAGTCTGGAGGAGTGGAGCCTTCTCTTTCCATGTGACCGTATCAATTGGACGACGGAGCCCGGCTGCATTTCCTGCGAGTAAAGTGAGTGATGTTTGGAGTTTGTGCTGGGGGCTCTTTGACCCCCTTCTCCACCCCCCAACACATCCAGCTGACTAACGCCATCACCTGTCAGAGTTCAGCTTAATTGAGGTCTGGCGGTGTGTGTGTGTGTTTGTGTGTGTATATATGGAGGTCTGGGCAGACAACTTGTCATTCTCATCCCTCAGAACTGCACTCCACCTCCAGCCAAGGAGACTCACAGTTGGTCCCTGTGGGCAGGTCTGAACAGCAGATAGAAGGCCCCACAGCAGGCCGCTGACCACCAAGTGTCGGATAGAGCAACAGATCGCAAATCATCTGACCCATGACTCCATCAGGGTCCCAGGGAGCAAACAGTGTGTTTACAGTTGGATAAAAAACGCTAAAAATATCCCCCCTTTCCCTGTGCAGATGACTGGGTGTTATTTTTCACTGGTGAAACGCATGGAGGTAAAAGAGAAGTCCACTGGGTGCTAAATCTCTATGGCCAAATCAGCAGGTGTGCTTGAAACCACAGAGAATAATCAGCTAGACTGAGCTAAAGACTATGATGAAACACAAAGGAACAAATGTGACCTACAAATGTTAAACAATGTACTGCTTTATTGCGCAATGTACTGCCCTGAAATCTAGACACTTAAAAATGGATTCATCTTATTGCTTTAGATAACAAATTATCAAACCAAGTGGCATTCGCAAAAAAAACTAATTACGCCAGACCTTTTCTCAGAACCTCTTCTGGTGATTACATTTAACTAACTGGTCCCAGGGACATTTTAAATATATTTATGTAGTCGGTTCTCCTCAAGTTTACACAGATGTAGCCCATCACATTAACTAGGAACATACTGAAAGTGTCCAAATGCTTTGCATCTTAAAGCAATAAGTAATGAGATGCTGAGTGATTTTATTCAGAGGAAATGGTAAAAATAAATACTGTTTAAATCAATTAATACTTTTATTTGAAGGACACATTTAATCAATCAAAAGTGACAGTAAAGACATTTACAGTTTAATGTTACAAAGGATTTCTGTTCCAAATAAATGCTGCTCTTTAGAACTTCCCATTTAAAGAATCCTGAAAAATGCATCATGGTTTCCATGGTTCATCAAAAATATACAAAAAAAATCTTACTGCCCCAAACCCTCAATGTTCAATAGATTGTAATTTAGTTTATCATTTAGCAAATGTATCTGCCTTTTACAAATGTTTACAACATTTACATTTTGCTTGTGAAATACATTCTGCCCAAATACTGTTCTTTTTGGTGCCACTGTCCATTTGGTCTTGCTATAACATTTTTTTTTTTTAAATGAAAATAAAGTGGAGTTTCAGACAGCTCTGAATTCTCCTACTTCCAACTTGAAAATAACCATGGGAATGAAGCTCAACAACAGACTTTGAAAAAAATGGGGCAGAATAATCAACCCTGACTTAATTAGATCTTATGAGCATAATTTGATGTAATTTCCAAGACTATGGCTGTATGGCAACAAGTGCCAAGCATTGAGGGAAAAAAAAACACGTTACGGAAAAAAAAAAACATTATTAAATCATTCAGAAAAAAATATATATTTATAGTTAAATAATATGAAACAGTCATGTTCACAGCATCACAATCAAAACAAAAAGTGTAAACGCGTCCTATTTCAAACGTTCAGTTCATGCATTTCCTGGTAATCAAACCCAAGACCTAGGCGTTGCTAGGTTTTTTGTCAGATGTTTGTAGTGCAAACACCACGCTTTTATGTTTGTCATAATTATCATAAGTCATGCCGCCACCCTATTTTGTTTACGTTTTATGACGTACGACCGACTGGAACTCTTTGAGGTCGGAAGTGGGGAATTTCAACTCTAGCCTTCCCACCTCCGACTTAGTCTGGAACTTGCCACAATCCCACCAGCTTTTCAGCAAAATACAAAAGAGTTCTTTTGAGCATCAATTTGAGCTCTTTGGACTCATGAATATGCTGTGGGTTCACACGGTTTGGACAGCTGACCTTGACAGAACACGGCCTACATAACTCTACATGTCCAGGGCTGTTATACGTATATTAAACATACCTGAAACGTCTAACTAACACAGAAGCCTTCTTTGAACTTGGTGTCACCCTTCAGCTATAAGTTATTAAAGTAATTTTAAGGCAATTAATATGCAGGACATGATTCCCCATTACTGCTTGATTTCTCTTCTAGGCGGTACTCCATTACAGTCACCTCTCTTTCTCCTTGGTCGAGCCCACTGCCCACGGTCTGCAAATTAATTCTGTCCAAATTATTCAACATGTCTCACGGCTTACCTCACAGTTTATCCTTATTAGCCAATGTGAGGCGGAATTATCTCAGCAAGCTCGTGATATCGGGGTCATTCCATGTCAACACACCATTAAAAGCGTACAAGACATCTCCTGAGTTTTCTACCGGATATCGGTTGAAGTGAAAGCAAGCTTACACCATGAGAAAACATTGGTTTGCATCGCAGAAACCCAATAACAGCCTGGCATATTTTCAAATCTTAAGTGGTGTAAACTCATGCGAACGGCTCCGAGAACGCAGTTGGTCATCGACGCAACCTGCACTCTATCCCATCCAGAGATTTATACGAGAAGCTGTCAGAAAGGCTAACCAAAACACGCAACATGTGGATGTGGGCATTCATTCAAACTGCCATCATAACATGCTCATCACAGCAGTGATTCTGCAAGGAGCTGTCCTACTTTCTGCTCTCCAGATGCTAGAAGATTCTGCACATCGTCGATCACGTCCAAACTACGTAAACATCCATATGGATATGCACATTTGCTGCAATAACTTCCAGCTTAGCCGTCACAGTTAACATTGTTTTCAGACAAAACAATCCTCTGAATGATGTGCGAGTGGAAAATAAATGGCACAATATCAAAACCACATCAACATTTGCAGAACTTACTCTGTTGGTTTAAACAAGGGTTTACTCCCCAGTCTCAACAACAGCCTGTTGTCCGTCACCGTGCCTTTTCTGAGAAGAAACTTCTGAGCTAAATCAAACCCTGTAAACAAGAGATGAAAAAGGCAAACACACATTACATTTATGCATTCACCAGACACTTTTATCCAAAGCAACTTACAGTGCATTGTGTAAACATTTTGGGAATTGAAAACATGACCTTAGCGCTGTTAGCACCATGTTCTGCTAAAGGAACAACATTAGCTTTAGGCTAAAGAGATTTTCAGCAAATGCTGTCCAATACAAACTGTTGAACACACATTTGTAGTCTTTTATCTGGAATGATTAGTATTAGCAAGGCAACACTATTGTTATTCCTTAAACATTTTGGTTTGGGGCTTATTCTAAACTTCTGCGGTTAGAGCAGACTCTATTCAAACTTTGTTTTGTAGATTTCAGCCTTAGGTGTACCGTTTTTAATACACTTCATACTAACTTTCAAACTAAAGTTTGACAATCTCCTAGTATTTGGCACAACTAGCATTTAAATCTAACATACATTGATGATGGCACTGTGGTATTTGCATATCAAATAGTGATTGCTTGGTCTTTACTTTCTTGCTCTCTATTTCTTGCTATCTTTTTAACCATTACAGTCCAAAAGTTTGATATTTTTTTAAATACATATTTATTCAGCAAGGATATATTAAATGGATCCAAAATGACAGTAAAGACATTTATATTGTTACAAAAATATTCTATTTAAAATAAATGCGGTTCTTTTGAACATCCTATTCATCAAGTAATCTCGGTTTCCACAAAAATTAACTGTTTTCACCATTGATAATAACAAGAAATGTTTCTTGAGCAAATCAGCATATTAGAATAATTTCCAATGTGACACCAAAGACAAAAATTCAGCTGAAAATTCAGCTTTGCTGTCACAGGCATACATTTTAAAATATACAAAACAGTTATTTTAAACTGTAATAATATTTCACGTTATTACTGTTTTTACTGTATTTTTTATCAAATACATGCAGGCTTGGTGAGCATAACAGACTTCTTTCAAAAACATTTATAAAATCTTACCAACCCCAAACTTTTGATAGTGTACATCCATTTTTACACTTTACACAGTGACTGTGATTCTTGTGTGCAGCCAACAGATAGCAAACGCTCTGACACTGTATTTTACAGAACCACATTTTAAAAACTCAGCTTACCAACAACTTTGACAGTATTCTTTAGCTGGCTTGCAAGAACTGGCATTTCCTTCAGGAAATGCAAAATTAGCTGTATAAATTGCTCTGTCAGCTTCAACCATGTGCAACATTAGGGATGTTTTAAACAGCCAGTTTGATGTTTAACAGCTCTGCGTAAGGACGAGCTGTGTTTGATTTCTATTTGTATATACAGTATTCTTTGTTTGTACCTGTGAATTCTCTGTGAATGTTCACATTGGTAGGCCATTTCTCTTCCAGCTTCATGGGCGGACATGTATGATCTGCAGAGGAGAGGAATATCATGCGTTACTGAAGCAACTGAATTGATTTTTAAAAACTGGTAATGTTTTAGGTTATTCAGTATATAGGACACCACAGCTATAGTTAGTTATAAGCCATGAAGCAAACCATCCAGCTACAATGTGAATCAGAACATTAAAAATCTTAATTTGAAGCAAAAAGACAACAGGTGTAAAACTGCATATGGCTTTAATGAGGGAAAAAATGCAATCACCTGAAGCATTGTGAATGACAGTCAGAATAAAAGCGATGTTTAAATATAAAACTATTGGTTTAAAGATGTTGAGTATGTATACAGAAACAATATATTTTACATTTTTGCAAAACATGCATATTTATATGGAAATATTTAAGCAATTTCAGAGCATAGGAAGACTATTACATAATTTGCATTGCTTCCCGGGAGTGAGGGAGCACTAAAGAGTTATTTTGGCATGATTTGCTTGTTTCAAATCTCTGATTGGCGATGATTTTTTTGCAGAATTATGGGTAATGTAGTTTTCCTCCAGAAATTTAGCTGTTAAACAATTATTTTAAAAAATGAGTTATAATAATACAGGCTGATGGTTACAGCAAAAGCATATAGTGTACCATTAATTAACAACCTTGTAATCACAGTATAGTTATGTCTTTAACGGTTTATAAATTATGGTTAAAAATCAATTCCTTTACAGATCAAATGAATGGGATTTTTACATCCAAAACCAAACTGTTGCAATTAATAAAATCAAGGTGGAAATCTGAAAACTCGTATCAAGCAAAAATTACATTTTTCTATCACTGGATGGAAACAAATAATGGTTTTTTTTCATAAAAAGCCTACTAGCTACTGAGATCCCAGTGAAACAGTAAGCCCCAGTCTCCCCTCCCATGACATATGCAGGCTGATATTGCTGAAGGACGAATTCTGCTTCATCAACAACAACTATCCCAAATAAAAAGGACGCTCAAACAGACACAAATGTAAAAACACACAAACATATCTACATCCACAGCCACAAACCCACAAATCACAGCATTAACAGGAAATTCCAAAAATCAGCACATCTGCTGGCAAACTGCCGACTCTTAAAGAGACGGGACACATGCTGTAAATCCTCTCTAAATCTCTTCCTGGATGTCACGCTCGCACAGTGGATCACGGGAGATAGCAATTCACTCAGCTGGCAAAAATATTGCTTGCCTGTCCTCTTGTTCAGAGGACTCTCATTCGTGGGCATTTACACTGTGCAATAATATTCCTTAATCGCCTCAGGTTAATCTGAATGGGGCCAATAAAGCAATTCTATCGGACACATAACACCAGAGCGGATGTGTCCTGGTGGCTTCTGACTAATGCCACCCAGGTCAAGGGCTTGACGCCATGTCCTCGTGAGCAGGAATTTCAAATAGCCCTGCAAGAGTCCCTGCTTCTTAAAGGAGGGCGCGACGTCTTTCATCACAAACAATTCATTTGCATACAAGGATTCCAAACAAGAAAGCTTAAACAGAGCGCTAATTAAAGGTGATGACAGCGGCGCTCTGCACCAGAGCGGTGAAGTCAACATTGGCCTCTTTCGCGGAAACGAACAAGGCTCAAAAAACCAAACAGATGTAATCGCTTCTAATCAAACCTTTTGTAAGCGGACAAGAATAAGCAAACATTTTGGTGCGGACCTTTAGGTGACAGCATACATACCTATTCTCTCATTCACTGTCATTCCTGAAGTAAAAGGAATGGAATTTACGACCCACAAGAAAACAGTCCATCTGAGACAGTGAATCATGTCGTCTTTGGCACATGAGAAAGGGCCCCTTGAAAACCTAGAAATAGAAAACAACGTCACTTTTACAACTCTTTGATGCTCTTCTGGGTAACGCAACACCACTTGTTACTGTCTGTATGATGACTGATTGCATTGACTTCACATTTTAGTTACTCTTCAATATGTTTTAACTGATTTAAACTGATTACAATTTTTTATTGTATGTCCTAGTATAGTCAATATCAAATGAAAATGAGCTATCTTATAGAATATGTAGGAATTGATCATGTTTCGCAAAATCCGTCTAGCACTTCAATTATGTGGTGAAACGTCTTAACGCAAAATGTCAAGTGTGACATTTCACTCCTCAGAATAAACTCCAGGCCAGAGTAAGTTTCCAGCATGAGGTGCTTCTGGGGAGCCAGTGCCATATTCCTGTAAACCAATACGATCCGTTACCCACCGCTGACTGTTGTTATTGAGCTCTTAAGTAACAGGGCAAACAAATTGCGCTAAATAATTAAACACTGGTGCTATGGAGTTTTGAAGCACATGCAGTTTTGTAGGCTTCAATCATTAGTGCATCTCTGTATATAAACATGCGGTAAATTGGTTTGCTGTAAACTTCAAACTCAAGTTCACCGTCTGACTTTCAAGTGAACGACAAAGCGATATAAAAAGCTGTTTTTCTAAGATTTCAAATTAAGGCTAAAAACATGTTTTGTAAATAAAATGGTGTAGGCTATTACATGGGTGGTGTAATTTACACAATGTCAAGGAGTGAATGGAAACATAACACCCAGCAAAAAATTTTTTTTTAAAAACTAATTAATTTTTAGGTCAAATTAAAGTTTCACCCTGCAGTCATTGCGCTTTTCAACCACTTTTAAAGGCTTTACTGAATATTAAAATCAAGCTGAAAATCTGAAAACTCATATCAAGCGAAAATTACACATTTTGTTGTAAACTCTGATGGAATCAATAATGCCTTTCCTTAACTACACATGCACGTCTAATTGTACTGTGTGTGATATTTGTACTTTTAAACATAAATTTATTCTCAAGATTAAGTGCACTTGAAGTGGTTAAAAAAACAAACTTAAAAACCTGATTATGAGAAAAGTTACTCTGCACTTTGTCAATTAACCATATAATAAATAAAGTTATTTACATTAAAGAAACAGCATAATTTTATCCATGTATGTATTTGATGTGAAGCTAAAGCTTGAATGTTCAATATTTGATATCAGCATATTAATCCATAAATATCTGTGCTGAAACGCCACGTGCACTTCAACCAGATTGTTTAATATTAAATATATCATTATTAATATAATCAAAATCGCTTTTTAAAACTGCATCCAAACTGACTAGCAACAAACAACAACATGACCTCATTAGTGTGTTTAAAAAGCATAGTTGCGAATATTTAATTTACATGCACATGGTCAAAAACTACTGTTTACTGCAATTTCTCTGTGTGCCGAATGATGATAAATCAGCAATGCTGAACATTCATCTCTCTCTCTCTTTCAAGCACGCGAACGCCGACAGCACAGGACTCACAGTGGCGTGTTAAACTCAGATGACATCAAACATGATCATTTAAAAATGACACCGCACACATACTCTGCAAAAACACCTACAAAGTCACAGCAACCGAGACAGATGAACACCGGCTACTTACATTTGCTGAGAAAGTTTATTATTCCAGCGAAAACACACAGCACAAGCAAATCCTGTTTGGTTCATTAGCGCATTTTAGGCAGCTGTGGGTCCAAAGCTCACTTGCAAATAAAAGTGAGAATGAAAGCTCGTGCAGGAACCGTGTCCTTATTTGTCGCACTGCCTGACCCTCCCACCCACTCATTAGAGCAGCAAACATCAGGACGGACAGGACACTCTGAGGGGCTCCCTGTGGAACACGCTACAGTACACAGGCTACTTGACCAATAGCAAGAGTTAACTTTTCTTTCAAATTAGAGGTCAGCATTTAAAGACCAACTTCCTATAAAAAGAAGAAAAATGTATATATTTTTTGTGCTTAAGTTTTTCACATTTTTAATCAGTTGTATACATATTTAAAATGATGCCATGCTGCATGCATAATGATTAAAATACGATTAAAATACATTTAATTGGCATTGTCAAAATTTTTGTACCGTGAACTGATTTTGCTTGGCTATATATTTCAGTAAATATTATATAATAATAAAATAAATATTATATTATAGTGTAAATATTATTATATTATTATAATATATAATATTATTATACTAACTGTATTAAATATTTCTCAGGATGGGTTTATAGCACATAGCTACTACAAAAGTCTTTAGCTAAAAATATTTAGCTAAAAAGTGAAACGATTTTTGACACACAAAACACAAAAATGTATAAGCCAACATGGAAATATTAGCCAGTGTTTTGGATGACAAATTGTTTTTTTTGTGTGTGTTTTTTAAGTTAAGTTAAGTCTTGTCTTTTATTTTTGAAGTGTATATAGTTTTTTATTATTATTTTGTTTTGTATCTTGCACTGTAATAAATAAATCTGTAAAATAACTTCTTATTACTGGGACATTTTCCAATAATTTTACATACATTTCAACATAGCGTGATGCAGTGTAAAATTCAAAATACAGGTAAAAGACCTGTAAAAAAAAAAATACAGAAAATTATTTTTAATTAATACAGTACATTGTGCCCTATTTATATGGATTTTTAATGGTTTTCTTTTCTTTTTCTTTTCTTTTTTTTTGCAGGCAATTTCTTTTTTGTTTACTTTTTGAGTTGTTTTCTATTGGTTTATTAATCCTGTTGTGTCGTGTTATCAGTTTTGTATAGTCATTGTTTCATTTGGGCTTGTTATCTTGTGTGTATCACTCATCATAATATAATACAGATATTATAGAATTATTATTAAATAAAAGTAAAATAAAAAATGAAATGTATTTGAATAGATGACATACGGAGAATGCTTGCAACAAAACAAAACAAAAAAAAAACATAGGATTTGAGTCAACATTGATTTTGAAATGCAACTAACACTACAAATCTCCAATCCATATACCACAAATCTTCAATATATGGGAGATTTGTTGAAGAGATTTGTGGTATGTGTTACTCAAGATATGAATTCCAGCGCTGTCCATATAGAGTTATCTATATGCCCACAACCTGTTTATTCCTCTGGATGCTTTCATATGAATCTACTACTTTTGAAAGCACTATTCATTTGAAGCAGGGATTTGCAGCGCATTGCGATATCTCACCTGACCATCTGACTATTCTGACCACCACTTTTGTGTTTACACAAGGCCCTCAACACTGATGAATAATGAGACGCATTTTTAGGATTGTGTTTGTATTGGCCTTATTAGTGTGTCTCCACATTACCATGCACCCCCAACCCAGCTGCTTTCAGAACAGCTGTTTCTCAGACAGGGAATCAATGAGACTTCTCAGCTGTGATTCACTTCAGACTTGCATTTCTGCTACAATAGCATCATAATGTCCCCTGTGTTCTGTTGAAGAATGTCCCACCACCGAGAAACAACCACCTTAAGCCTGCAGATGGGAAGTTTAGCCCTAGAACAACATGCAGAAAACATGCTGCCCATGCTGACCCAGAATCAAACTTCTCTGTGCAGATGCATGAGTGTGAAAGATCACTATCTGTCGTGTCTGTTTCCCTTGTAAGGATGATGAAAATTTGAGGAAAAGAGTTTGGTTAAAATAAAAATGCTTCTATTTTGTGTTTTGTTTTATTTGCAATATATATTACATATATTACATTTGTTTTCTTTTTTAATATTATGTTATTTTGAATGTATATAAAATACGTATATACGTGTGTGTGTGTGTGTGTGTGTGTGTGTGTGTGTGTCTAAAATAGAATATATTATCTATTCCTGTGATCTCTTTGAATGAATCTTAAATAATAATTTACATACTCATGCACACACACTTTCAGTTCTTTTTATTTTTGAAAATAAAAAGGGTTTGCTGTTTCTGTTGTCTTTGGGTTTCTCAAAGCAAATTCACCTATTTCAGAGCATTTGGGCCATGAAGTCACACGAAAAACATTGACTTGTTTATGCATGCGAAGACGAACAAGGAATCTGTTAAAAATTAAAAAGCGTAATCATGTATGATTTATCATAATCCCCCAGTAACCCCTTTAAATCTTTATACACAAGTTTTATCAGCAGACATCATGTTCATCTCTAGACTGATGATGTGTCTTACAGTAATGAATTCACTTTCAGACAAATTCTTAGTACATGGATTTTAAGCTCCTCTCTTATAGCAGAGAAATACACAAACCCCTCTTCTGCTCCACTTTGTGATGCCGTTTGGTTCCCAAACAGCACGTTTTGTGTATCCTTTCACTTCTTCACATTCAGAAACTTTCTCGAAGGCTGTTTTCCTGGCAAACAAACATCCCAATCCGCACATGATATCAACTGATATCAGACAGAACACCTGTTTTTCCAACGCACCTGCTGTTAAAAGAGACACACTATTTACATTCTCCTCAGTTGTTGCATATTTCTCACTATTGAAATGACTGTTAGCTTAATGCATCACCCAGAGTATGGGTTACATTACTCTTTCTTATTGCCATATGGTTTGTATATTTTGTACACAGGCTTTGTTTCCCCAAAATGCTTCTCAAACAATAGCTCTATTCCTGTAGCTCATGTTGCTCCAGTTTGCCAGTGAAAACTAAATAAATGGATATTGCAAACAACTGAGAACAAGAGGTCCTAAAAACCTCATTCACTTTGCTGCAGTGGTGAGCTCACATGCCCATTTATGCAGGTCTAATACAAAAGAAGAAAGACTAAATGCAGCCTGTCAATGTTTGGAAAGCCAAAGCCATTCATTGAAATTGAATTCAACAGATATATTAATGTAAAAGTCTCCCATGAAGCACATGGCTAATGATTTTCTGGTAAAACTGAGATGTTTAGACTTTTTTCAATAATGTTTCAATAATTTCAGTAGATTTAGATTTAGCAGGTCAAAATAGATAGTACATTTTAAATTGTGGATATTATACTTTGTTGTTGGGAATTTGGGTTTGAGACATTCTGGGAAGCAGATATAAGCAGGTATATCATATAATAAATGGGCCACTTTGAAAATCTGACTCACAAAATTAAAGAACGTTGCAGTAGGCTACTTATAAGGACTCACTTATAGTTCATGCTGCGTTTAAACAATTTAAAATTTCCATCATGCTCTCTGTTCTGTACTTCCAGCTTTTCCTGTCAGGTTATTGTAGAAAGGACAAATGAGATTGATAAAACGATGGCAAATGTGACCCAGAGACTAAATGAAATCAGGGTATTAGGTTTGGTATCTCACCGTATCTCACAGCTAATGGAAGTTTCCTGGTGCCTATCAGTCTCCTTGAGACTAGACAATACAGTCTGTAGTGCACTTATAAAGGGAATGAGAGTGTATATCAGTGCTGAGTGTGCATTTTAAAGGATCCTGGGAGAAATGAACCCCTCAGATATTATTTTTCAAGAGTAAATTGATAGAATTTTTTTTTTTTTAAAGAACTCATGTCTGCATGGCTATTTCGACCAGCAGCTATTGAACATAAACATCAGTCTTGTGACAGTACTGCTTATTAGTTGCTATTTTTAAACCTCTAAAAGAATTGTTCATTGTTATCATGAGATAAGCAATCAGTTTCATTCCTGTAGCTCAGCTGGTAGAATATAGCATTAGCAATGTCAAGGTCAAGGGTTTGATACACATGGCCTGAGCAAAAGTGTAGGCTACAGTTGATGCACTGTAAGTTGCTTTGGATTTACAGTATGTGCCAAATGCATAAATTGGAATCTTGACGTTACAATAAACGTTCAATGTTGCATGTCATTTCCTTGCAGCACAGTTTGCTTGAGGTCTCATGGTCAGTATCATATATCGGTGATTATCCTGTGGCCACTTGCTCTCCTGCCTGATCACTTTGCACTGGTCTTTAATCACTATAGCAACTGTTTGAATGTGCCAAAGTGTGTAAAGTGATGCCATGTTTATATAAAGTCCAGATACCTGAGCAGCAAAAACAACATACACAGGAACAAGCAATGCAGCTAGCGACATTATTGGCTTTGTGACATGAATGTAGTATCATTAACATGACCCTATTCGAAACACTGATTCTTTGAAATTTTATTTTGAATCTTTTGTTTTGAATCAGTGCTTCAAAAAAGCGCATAAACAAGTCACGTGATTTTAGCAAACAAGGCTTCCTTTGAGATGTTTAGTGGTTTTCACAGTAGTTGTTTTTTGCTAAGAAGCGAACCAGTGTTAAATGTAGGTATGGTTGTAGCTTAACTCAAGCAAGTTTTATAGTTTTAACCCATGGATTTTAACCAACATGTCATAGTGCGGCAATTCGAGTAGTTCGAAACAGTGAATCATTTGCAAAGCAATGAGTTCAATCGATTCGAATATTCAAATAGCCTGCTTCTCCCATGACTAAATAACATAGGCTACTTTCTCTTATCCCAGCTTAAATGCAGATGCCAACCACATTTTTACCATTCGTGAGTTTAACAAAGTGTAACACCGTGGTTCTTCTTCTTTTAGTTTTTTTAGGCGAGTTAACGCTGTGGTTCCACTGTGCCATTTGCTTAAAAATTTAGACCACTCCGAGTCCGACAAAGTACCACTGCCTTAACCAATGGCGTGAGTTTAGGGGCGGGGCCATTTATTTTATCTCACCAATCAACGACGTTGGAAGTGTTCGGGGAACACCAGTTCGAACGCCATTTAAAACAACCACTTGGTGTCACTACTGGCGCAGAAATGACTCACTTCACCTTAAAAAAAAAAAAAAAAAAAAAAAACATAACAA